GCGTCTATCGTATGGCAACCTATATTCTCTTATGTTTTAAAATTTGAGAATCATAATGTTCCCCTTAGTCCATTTTAAATTCCATTTTTCAAGGAGTGGAATGTCAAGTGGATCTGGTAGACAGTCTCTTTAACGAGTATGCACAAATAACCCATTGTTATTCGCCTCCTTCTTCTCTCCTTGTCGGTCAAGTCCACTCGACTCTTGAGACCTCTTGCCCCGACATCTTTTCTGCTTCTTATTGGTCCGATTTATTCGTGCTTGTATTAAATCTCGTTTCAATCACCCCAATCATAGACTATTCCAGGAAGATCGTATAAAAAAAGCCCGGTCTAATACTCATCTATGCTTTAGCTCCATTCATGGCCAGCTGCTATTTCTTCAAACTTTTTTTGTCACCTCAGTTTCCCCTCATTTATTTGAGCTTGGTTTATCATATTCTTCTGAGAGATATGTATTGTTGATTTGGTTAGTTCACTAAAAATAGTCAATCGAGTCATCCATTTGATATTTATTCTTCTAAATTCATAGCAATTACATATTCCTTATTTGCATTATGTTCAAACCCTATAATATATTTAATACTCTTATTTTATCTACCATGGTAGGTGAGCGTGGTCTCGGAAAAAGAATTTGTTGATCTGAAGCAAGCCTTGTCAAACTCCGATTCTGGACGAACTGCATTCGATCCTCACCCTTCTATTTCCAATTTCCCCGTACATCTCGATGAACCTTTTCCCACAGATGCTATAGTCGAGCATTTGCCTCTTCCTTCTGGTAGAGAAACTAACAAATCAGAGGTGGCAAGCAAATCCGTGGCAACTTTATCTCCTGATCCCAGTGCCCTTCCACCATTTTTCTTTCCTGCCAGCCTTCCACCGCCTTCACCGCCCTCGCTTACTACTGCGAATGACTGGATGGTCTGCGTTTCAGGAGGTAGGCTCTGAGTCTTGAAACATTGGTTTATTGAACATTACACTTATATTCATCTTGGCATCGAATGGTCAATAATTAGCTTTTGAAATATCACTTCCAAAATTTATATACTAAGCCTGGCACTAGAAAACTACATTATATTGATGGCTTTGAGTTAATTATTGTAATTAGTTGGATTTTCTGCTCTTCGTTTCAAATCCACTAAGCGTAAACAAGTAAAAATGCTTAGAAGTGCTTCTCGGATGAAAACGACTGAGTCGTCGATCTTCATTTGCCCTAACTATACACTAGCATATATATGTGATATAATTGAACCATCCACCTTTTGTGAGTTATTCATGTGATAATTTCCTTTCTGGTAGTGACTTCCGCATTCCACTTTATCCTTTCGCATCCGAGGTTATGTAAAAAATATATACACCGATAGGTTTGCTCTATTGGATTTTGGTTGATTCATATGATGGCAAAAATGTTAATTTCACTAGTACCAGCATGCTGCTACAGTTTGTCGTGTATAAGAGGAGTTTCGAGATAACCAGTAAATCAGTTATATGAGATATATTCTTCCCATTTCGTTTAAGGTGATGAAAGACTGGTAGTCTGACGATGATATGAATAGAGCTGACGTTTTCATTGAATTTCACATAGCCCTGCTATCCGAAACGTCGTTTTCAT